TTAATTTTGAAAGTCAAAATCTTGAATTTTTGAAGTTAAATGTTTTAATTTCGAAATTTAAAATCTTGAATTTCGAAAGTGAAATTTTTATTTTCTACAAAGAAATGTATGATTTTCGAAATTTAAAATCTCAAATTTTTAAAATTAAATGTTTTAATTTCGAAAGTGAAATTTTTGAATGTCGAAAGTTAAAATTTTTATTTTCGAAAGTTAAAATCTTGAAGTTCGAAAGTTAAATTTTCTATATTTGAAAGTTAAAATCTTGAATTGAGAAAGAGAAATTTTTATTTTCGAAAGATAAAATCTTGAATTTTGAAATTTAAACTTTTATAATTTCGAAATTAAAATTTCGAAATTTATATCGCAAATCAAATTGCGCTCTGTCTATCCCCAGCTCATCATCCTCGCTAACATATTTCTTTACTTTCTTTTTCTTGCGGCATTTCTTTTATACTTTTATGAAAAAAATGAGAATTTCTCGTATTGTTGATGCCGCCGCTTATACTCTCTGAAGCTTTATAATTTGTGAAAATTTAAATATTATTTAAGCATCAAGTTCTTTCTTTGGTTAAGGAAACATCATAACAATGTGAATGTATTCTTCTTTTATGTTTTCATTTCTCATAAAAAAATGTATACTTTCCTCTTCCTTTACTTTGTTACATGCTGGTTGGGACGGCTTAAAATAGAATTTCCATGCAGTTGTGTTTTGTTTTATTCTGAATAGCAATAAAAGAGTTTTACGGAAGAAAAATATGAAATTTGCTCATTTCCAAGGTAATTTACAACTTTAAGGGCAACATAAAAAAGGAACTGAATGTCTTTGAATTTCTCATACTTTGTCTTGTGCAGCAAAGACTCTAGTTTGATAACTTGTATCATCAAAATTCCAGTGAATCTACTTAATATATCAAAATACACATTGATGTAGACTTTCTGAGTAATTTTGTGTTGTTTTCAACATATTTTCTATTTTAATTACAGAATTAAATCCTCATAAATATGCTAATAATAATTAAAACAAGAAAAGTTGCTTGTTTTTGAATAATTTTTCGAAAATTTAATGTGAAATACAATTTTATAATCAAAAGTTTTGGTGCTGTTGTACTTGAGGTTTCATTTTACATCGCAAATTCAGTTATCTTCAAATTGTGGCAAGTTGAAGCTCTTATTTATGTCTTGTGGAATTAAATATATAAAACTTAGATGAAATTTTGTTACTGATGACAGTTAATTTGATCAAGAATACATTAATTAGAAGATTTTTGTGTATTTTGAATTAAAACAAGCTGATTGTGGAACTTTCAGGTGTATAAACATATCAAATATCAATTACAATGCATAATTATTATGGTAAATGTGTTTACTAAGCATAAAAGTGCATTAAACTTGATTGTTTGTCCTGGTAAGCAATTAAGAACATTAAAACAAAAATAACGTAAAGAATTTTGAATTTTACCGCATTTTTTGGTGCTTTGTTTATAATTATGCAACTTGAAAAATAATTGAAATGAAAATATCGATTTTAAGAGTATTTATGACACTCAATTGATTGTAAACAACTTTAAAAGCTTTGCTCACACATAATTAATACTTTGGAAACATTTAATTACTTGATAACTAAGCGATTGAGTTGAAATTGAATGTTAAAATCTTGATATGGAAATTTAAACAAACCAATATCGAACAAGATTGTGAAAATAGTCAAAATGATCAAAAATAATCACCGATTCTACTTTTCACATTCAAAAATAATGTAAATGATTTCGTATTTAACCCATTTTAACCTAAATCAAATATCCAAGCTATAAAACTGTGAAAATGCAAAAAAACTATTTATGCATAATCGAAAAAAAATTTCTATGCATGCCACTCCAACCAGTTTCTATTCGAATAGAACGAAAGCAAAACCAAACACAAGTGGAATGCTCTTTAAAAGTCCTTTTGAAAAAAATTGCACTAACATCCTGCATCATATTTCTTTGCAACCACAACATATTATCGTCTCATATACACCAAAAATGAAATGGAGAAGGAAGCAAGAAATTTTCATCTTTGACGATGCAATCGAGAGCTCAGTGAAGCATAAAACCACATCAAAACCATTAAATTGCATTGCTCCATTTTAATGCATTCCAGCACTCGAAAACGTCAAAGAACTTATTGGAGTAAATGCTGCATGCATGCATTATGTCATCAATATCATCTCGAAACATTCCAATTTTATGGCATTACTCGTAACGTATAGAAAAAGAATAAGAAGAGGAACTTAGAAAAAAAAAATAAAGAAATAAAAGCTTTTTACGTCTTATCAGCGATAGAGCTCTTTTCATGTCAAACCTTTTTTTTTTCATATCACAATTGACAAAAAAAATATTTCTATTCTTTCATTTTTTGTTCTCATCCTTACACGACAAATAAAAGCAGAAAATTTTGTGATGTGCATGATGATGATAGCAAAAGACAGTTTCATCCAAAAAAAAAGAAACTTTTTCATTCTTTTTCCCTCGTCTTCTATTTTAGTCGTCACACTTTCAAGCAATTTTCGTCTTATTTTTTTTATCTTACTCAGAATTTTACTCACATCCACATCTCAAGGAGAAAAGTTCTTCACCTTGTAGCAGCCTCATTTCGGATGCTCTAAGGATGAGCATGAAAATTTAAAGTACAGAGGATGTAAATTTTGTGAATAATTATCATACACATGATCGTGGAATTGATATGGAGCACTTTCTATTCAATAAGCGTGGTTTTTGCTTCTGTTTTGATGCTTATATAATCAACAAAATGTGCTGTACAAGTATGATAGTATTTGCTAGTTGGCTGACTAAACGCAGTTGGTATTTAAGCACAGAGGTGATGATGCAAAGTTATGCTGTGAGCATGACAAACTGAGAATGTACGAATCAAATGCCTAAGGTCCTGGGTTCAATTCCTGGCCATGTCTAATTTTCGAGCATTTTTTCAAATTCACCAGGTACATTAAAAGGTACATCAGGTCCTTATGACATACTCGTGTCTTTGCAATGTGCAGAGCTTGCAAGTGGTTCGGAACCCACTATAAACAGTAGGTCTAAAGGGTGTGGTATAATAGATTCGTTACAAATTTGATCGCAGTGCCTCCAACTCAAAGGCTGAGCCCTTCACACATTATTATTATTATTAAGGATCAAGTGACATACTCCCTCCACAAAGTATGTCACGTTATATCGACGTGATGGTGACGTTACTCGTGGTAACATTAATGCAACACCACGTCAACACGAGGCACAAGGCAGCCTTGCGTACAAAGAAATACAAAAAGGTGTCGCTTTCACGTCGACATCATGTGAACATTAACTTTTTGTTGCTCGGGTTACAAGAGGTAGCCTCAACTGACTATGTTTTTTTTTTTTAAATTAAACTTTTTATTTATTTACATTTAAATTTAAGTATGTACAAAGTTTCTATACATTTTGTTGCTTTTTGTTTTAAGGTTTCAGGCATTCAATTTGCCTTTTGTCTCTTAATTTTGATTTCATTTACGGATTTTACTTTCTTTTGTATTTCATTTGATTTATTCGGTGTTTTGAGATGCAAGACGACTGTTGAAGTTCGCTTGCAACTTTCCGACGTAGTCTTCGATGGATGGTATTTTCGCTTCTGCATGAAGATCGGTGATCCTTTCATATCTTGTTTTATTGAGAACAATTCTCAAGAATTTGTTTTGCAGTACTTGAAGTTTTTGAAGATGGGTTTTTGCCATGCTTCCAAACGCTGGACAACCATATGTGAATATTGGTCTGATGGCTAGCTTGTAGATGAGAAGTTTGTTTCGTACGTCGAGTTGTGAGTTCCTGCTGATGAGCGGATAAAGCTGTCTTAATGCGGTGTGAGCCCTATTGGTCACATACTCCACATGCGGCTTTAATGTCACTCTCTTGTCGATCACCATTCCCAGATATTTAGCTTCTGTTTCCCATTTGATGTTTTCGTTGAGAAATTTGATGTTATTTCCTGGTAGTTGCCTGGAGTGCCTGGTTGTGATGAATCAACTGACTATGATTCTGTATTGTTAAAATAAAGGTGACAAGCTTCTATAGATTCTTACATAAAATTCTGTTTTGGATTGTTTCTAAATGACATCCATCTACAAGGGACGCTGTGCTAGTTTTCCATAAATCAAGAATTTATGCATATAAGTTTATTGATAGAAGAGGGGGAGGGAGTCTTTTAACCAGAGCATGGCTAAATTTTTTCTGTCACTACTTTCACTTAGTTTAGAATTTTAATGGAAAACAATTCCGCAACTCCTTAACATTTCGAAAATTCCCTGGTTTCTGACTACGACAATTGACATCATTTATGAACAATTCCCATGACAAATCACCATAGACATAAATTCGTTAATAATTCCTAAAGACATATACATGACTGACCAAACAATCACATATTGATCCATCTTAATTATTCCATTTATAGAAAATTGACAAACAATAGTCATGTATGTAGCCATATCAAATAAAAGTGATTTTCATATCTCAATCATCAATAAAACAAACCCAAACTGTACACAATCTTCGAAGATTGACAGAAGCAAAAAAAAAATTATTCTAAAAGCTTGCAAGGCATCATAATGTCAATTTCTTTGAATAGACGAAGAGATAATGGAATTTTCTTGTGTGTTCGTTGTCATAGTGATGCATGATATGTGTGTATATCCATATATACATAATATTGATAAGATGAGACGAAATTTCCTTTCTTGCTTCTCATTGTACGCACATTTCTTTTCTATGTCTCATTCTTTCTTTTTCTACTTGCTGTATACGCATATATCGAATTTCAATTAAGTTCTCTGACGACGGATGGATGGGAGACACGATAGAGGCAAGTAAGTAAGGCAGAAAAAAATCAAAATCAATATTAAATGTTGCGTAGGCAAAAAAAAATGTGTGTGTAGCTCGAAGGGTGTAGATGACACGGATAATGTTCAAAAAAGAGAAAAAAAAGGAACTTACAGTGATGGGTAAATTGAGTTCATGTGTCTCATTGCCGCGCCATACTGTCGAATCAGCTGATAAGTTTTGTATATCACAATCCAAGGAATTTAGCTTCTCCTCGAGACGAGACAACAGTCGAGGATGACTTGTTGGAATGGTATACATCGGTCGTTTTGAGGTTTCTTTTGTTGTCACTTCCTCCGTTACGGTAGATGTTGCAGTCGTCATGACATTATCGACAATTGTTGTGGCAAAGTGTGAATTGTCAATTGGAATTTTATTTGTATTCAATAGCTTCTCACGTATTAAATTGTCTGGCTTGACTGTTGACTTTTGTGACGGTGACATTGTGGCTGGCTTTGATGCTTTGTGCAAAATTTCATTATAAAGTTCCTTGCTGTTGTAAAACTTTGTTGTTGAATATTCAGGCTTTCCATTGACCGGCGCTTGTGTCAAATTCTCCTTCTTCTGATTAAACTTTGTCATGCCAAAATCATGTATGCGTGTTGGACCTTGCGTATCTGTCGATAAATTTTTTGTCAATGGATCAAATTTCTTCATACGTCTTGGTATAAAAACATTATCCATGTTAATGTTTTCCGTCACTTGTGGCACTTCGGTTACAATCTCTTCCACTTGAGTGATAATCTCATCAATTTCAATACCCCTATCGTTTTGATCTACATTAATGCCAACTGTCGAGTCATCAATTAATTCAATTTCAATGTTAGTTGTTGCCACATTTGATGTATTAATACGTGTTCCAGTTCTTGCTGTAGTCGATGATACGTCACTATCAATATTTGTCGGTTCACTCAATGAAAGTTCGACCAATGGCTTGACCTGCTCATTATGCAATACATCCTTCTCCTTTAACATTTTCTCATTGGAAATTTCAATGATGGGTCGGAAGTCTTCTATCTTTGATGGGAAAAAGTCATCAATATTTACTTTAGTCAATTGCCGATGCAATTTATCTTTGTGCTCATCATCATACCCAATGTTGAATTCGTCGGTTGTTATTTCACCAATTTTAATTCGATAAAGTCCGTTCTCAAGTTTCCTATCGATTTGGATCTCATTTGATATTTCATTCTCATGGCTACTTGACATTTCATTATTATTATTATTATTCCTATTATAACTCAGTTCCGGATCATCATCATTATTGAACAAAATATTTAAATTGGATTTAAGGACATTCTCCATATTGTATGATGATGATGATGATGATGAATGGGAATTTTGGAACTGAATTGCATTTTGTGGCTCTATTGTGCTTGTGGCTGTCTCTAAACTCTTTTCATCGACACTAGATGTTGGCATAAAAGTTTCATCAGCCATTGTTACTGTTTGTTGTTTTACAGCATCCGCTGATGATGTTGGTATTGTTGATTTTGGCACAGCAGTTGTTGACAAAAGTTTCTCGTTTTTCGAAACCTCAACTGTAAATGAACGTATCCCAAAACTTATAGTTGTCTCGGAATTTATCTCATCCTCAATACTACTGCTACTTTGTTGTTGCTGCTGCTGCGTAATGAGCTCGTCATGTGATGATGAAGTGACTTCCGTTATAGTCTTCGTTGTGACATCCGCAAGGGGCTCACTTGTACTCGTAATTAAGTTAAATTGTGATGTAGAAAGTTTTAATTGATTTTCACTAGCATTGAGTGCAGATTCTATTGTTGTCATTTCCGACATAACGGAAGTAAAGTTGTTTGTCACATTTTGATTATTGATTGCTGTTGATGGCACTTCTGTTTGCTCTGTTATTGATGACAATGTTGCTGATGTTGCTTCAGCTATTAACGACGATGAATTTTTATCTCCTTTTATAAACACTATTAGAGTTGATGTGAGCATCAAAAGGATGAAAATGCTTCTCGAATCCATACTTTTTGACATTATTCGAAAAACTTTCTTGTTTGCCTAATCAAATCTACGGAAGACGACCCTATTTGTAGATCATTAAAGTTGACTTTTTTATCTCTTCAGTTCTTGTGTTTTTGGCTTTTATTTCTTTGGCGTGTCGGAAAAGATGCAAGAAGAAGAGGAATTGGCTGTGAAAGAGAGAGAAAGAAGAAGTAAAATGAGAGATGGAGATATATAAAACTATATATACAAGATTGAATGAAAAAACAAACATGAGTTATGTTGGCATTAGCAGAAATTTCTTATGTATGTCTAACATACATAAAAAAAAACTTTGCTCTGTTCTGAAATTTTTTTCACAAACATAGACATTTTTTTCTGCTGTATTTTTGCTTCACACACAACATGTTTGAAAAAAAAAATTTTTGTTCTCTTTTTTTCTGCACAAAAATTTCATGCTGTAGAGCAGAAATGAGGACGAATGAGGAAAAACTTTATCATTTGATCGAAGCTACAAACTCAAAGAGTACATAGTAATAAATTTAATTATTCCTATTTTGCGCTGTATAATGGAAACATTTCTGATATTGCTTTCAAAATTGTATAAAAAGACTAATTTTTATGAGACATAAAAGCAAGACAAGAAATGCTATGTGTGGGATGGAGATGGCGAATTTCATGTTTAAAGCTTTAATAAATAGCTTAATTTTATTTCAATGATGTTAAGCGTTGGAGGAAATGAAGCTTTCGTTGAGAAAATCGCTTGTTTATAAGGAAAAATTTAAAGTTTGCTCAATTTTTTAATATTGTTACTTACAATGACATGAAGTTGACTACTAGGGTTTGTAGAAAACAGCTGTTTTTGAAAAACAGTCTATTTTCGGTTTGGATTTTTAAAAACAGCTGTTTTCCTGTTTTTCTAGAATTCAAAATAAACTGAGTTATCCTAAGTGTTTTCTAAGATAATTAAATTTTTTGGTGGTTATAAGCAGTTAAGCATACATTTTAGAGCTAAGCATTATTATTTCTTTGTTAATTAACTCTAAAAAAATATAATGAAATAATAAAAATGCAAAAAAAATCCAAAAAAATTTATACTTTTAAGTTTGCATTTTAACATTGCATTGTTGTATTGTAAAAGTTCCATTTCAAAAAAAATTTCTGAATAAAAAAATATCTTGTAAAATTGTTGATTATATTTTTGAACTTTAGTAAATGCTACAAAAGGTTCAACAAACTTAAAATTTCAATTGCAAAATTAATAATGATTAACCATAAATTTGAAAATGATTTCAAACCTATTAAACATCCAAAAATATTAAAATAGTAAAAACATTTCAATTTTAATGCTAGAAAAATATATTAAGTTCTTCCAAAAATTAAGAATCAGAAAACAGATCTGTTTTTGAGACCTGTTTTCTGTAAACAGATTTTTGTCGAAATACAGCTGTTTTTCTGTTTTCTGTTAACAGGTTCCCCAAACCCTATTGACTACAAATTACACTTAACGGTAAAAACTTATTCGAATTTGATAACTTTGCTTCAAATAAAGAGAATTGGTGTGTTTTGAAAATAAACTTGTTCATAATTTCGATAAATTAGGCTATTTATAGTTTCTTTTCTCTTATAAAAAGCATGTAAATGTCCCTGTAAATGTCATAATAAAGATTATGTAATAATCTAATTATGCATAATAATAATGATTTAATTATTGTTTAAAAGTTATATAAACATGAATATTTCAAGATTTAAATTTTTGTTTACGACTCTAATCATTAAATTTCCAGTCAATTCTATTCTTGACAACAATACCAACCACAAATAGCAAAAACCTTCATCTTTCAAGTATTTCTTTTAAATTTAATTGAAAAACAAAAAACTTCAAATCCACACATCAAAAATTCTAAATTCCTAAAAATCCCTTCAATTACAATCAACCTTCATATTCAATTACCGATCGAGCATCCAAAGTGAACATCAAAGAAAACCTCGTTCTCAGAAAATCTGAGTGAGATGGAAACAAACTTTTCATTTTTTTCACATCTGATAAATTTCATAAATAGCACTGAGTTAATTTTCACAGACAATCAAGAGCACAAAAAACTTTGTTATTGTATTAAACGAAAAAGAGAGAAAAAAAATTAATTTTAGTAGCAAATTAAAAAAGTTTCCCACTCAGAAAAAGTTGCCATTTTTTTGTGAAAAAAAGAAAATTCAATCAATTTCCATTGATATAGTCGAATGCATCAGAAATATCTCATTCTCTTTTTCACAATTGATTTTGAAATTCAGAATCGGAAAATTAGGTCAATTTAACAATAAAAAGAATTTATTACGAATATAAAAAATGTTTTATTTCATTTCTTTGTTGTTATTCTGACATTGAAAGCAGAACAGCGAGAAGAAAATGAAGAAAGATGAGCAGCATAGCGATTAAATTCAGAGTACAAAAAGGGAAAACGGCGTGAGAAAAGAAGAATGTTCCGAAAAAGTTTTTTTTAAGGAAGACAAATGGAGGAGAATAATATCCGAATATTTAATGTAACCTTGACATTAAGGATCTCCATCATCATCATCATCCTCATAATGTCTTCGTGTGCACGGATGAGATATTTAACATTCATTTAATACCAAACTTATACTTTTTTATTGCTAGGTTTTTGCTTAAAGCCTTGTGTATGTACGTAATATTGGCGCGTGTATTGCTCTGCACTTAGAACATTAAAAAAGATCCTGCGGAAAAGTTTAGATTTAAGGGATGAAAATAAAATTGAACTTTTCCAATAAAACAAATCGGATTTAGTGGATATCGATTTTCTCTTCTCTTTCCTCTGTCGATACACGCAGACGAGCCTTTTTTCACAACATATTTTTTTTTGTTTGATATTTTTGCTGCTCGTCTATAGAAGGCGAGATAAAAGAATCTTTATCGAATCCACCCGAGAAAAAAAAAAAATAAAGTTCATTCATATAATTTTTTTATGTTTAATATTTCGGTTCAATGATTATTTGGAGCAATAATGTGTAATTTGTGCAGCAATATATTTTGTTGGGTATCAAATTATGATGTAGAAAGGCAATTGGATGAGATTGGGAAGTTTAAAGATTTTTTTGTGGAGTGGAAATTAATATTTTTAAAATCCAGATTCGAGTGTTTTTGGGTAGATGTGGGGTTATGATTTGGTTCAAGAGGCATTGAAGTGTAATGTGGTCTGCTTTGAGATTAAATCTATTTTAAAAATTGTTAAGAATGGGATGAAATAATTATATAAAGTGAGTTTGTTAAAAGCTGATTGTGAAAAAAAAATTGAATTAGTTTTAAATTAAAGTTTATCGGGTTTTCAACATTCAAATTTTTAACGGTTTTGTAGATTTTGAATTAAAACTGGATTTTGAACTCAAAATTTTTAAGGGTTTTGTAGATTTTGAATTTTGACAAAATATTGGACACAAGTTTTTTAACTGTTTTATAAATTTTGAATTAAAACTGAACTTTTTAACTCAATGTTTTAATGGTTTTGTAGATTTTGAATTTTGACAGAATATTGAACACAAGTTTTTTAACGGTTTTGTAGATTTTGAATTAAAACTAAAATTTAAACTCAATATTTTTAACGGTTTTGTAGATTCTGAACTGTTTTCTAAACTTAAAAACCCAAAATTTCCTACAATTTTGCACAATTTAAACTTTTATTGCGTTAAAGAAATGTTTAAAAAAACACTCTTTTATCCAATTTAAAAATCCCAATTGTTTATTGAACACAATCTACTGCCAATTTTCCCCCATTCACTGATTCAGCGCTTTTTATTGTCTAAAATGCATGAATTTCAATTTTTTTTTAAAAAAATATTTTCAGAGAAAATATAATAAACAATTCATCATTTTCATAGACTTTAGTCTATTTATATTAGACATAAATTTGAACGCATATTTTCTAAAATATTTTTGGTAAAATTCAGTAAATTTTTTTGTGCTGTTGATTGAAGTGTGAAATATTCACAAAGTTTATGCCTAATTGTTAACTTCTACGATTTCAACAGTTAAGTTTGATTTTACTAAGCACAAAAGAACTATTGTTTGTAAATTATTTACTATATCAATCGATAATTACTACAATAAACAATAATCAATTAGATAAATGCACAATAAACGAGAATTTATGGGATTTAAAGATAGAATGAGCAAAGATTATAATGACATTTTATTATCGCATGTGTAGTTTCTATAGTAAAGCTTATCAAGCAATAACTATATAATAATATTATTGTTTGCACAATAGATCTACTTATTGTCTCTTAAATGATAGATTCCATAGCAATATCTACACAATGCTCCTTTGATTTATCACCTTTATCGATTTTTCCTTAATCCCTTCCTCCTATTGTTATCTTATTAACCCGATTGTATGCCTGAATAGAACGAGATAATGGATATACAATAAATATATTTTTTAATCTCTATAATTTATGTATCCATTGAGGGAAAAGAAGGCATCCGATCAGATATTGTTGATATCCATATAAACATTTTTTTCAAATCTCAAAAAGTTTATCATTCACCATCGTCACGTTAAAACAAAAAAATAGAGAGAAAAAAAGGTCATGGAAAACCTCAAGCCCATGAAACACATTTTTTTGAATATGCTTTTATTTCTTTCTCTCCTCTTTCTCTGTTGTGTTTATATTTTTTTATGGTTGAAAATAGATTCTTTTTTTTTCCATGAAGGTCACAAGCATTCATTCCCTTTTTAAGCATGTTTTTGGAAAATTGATATGCTTATTTGTTATTTATTCAGTTGAATGTCCTGGCGTTATGTTGATAATTTGATGGGATTTGAAAGAAAAGTCTGTTCTGTTGACTTTTGGATGCGACTTGTTCAACTTTAATTTTGTTAAGAAAACAATTAAAAGTTAAGTTTTCAAAGTTCTATAGAAAGAAGTTTAACGTCTGTCAAAAATTCAAATTCTATGTAGTTTCAAAAAATCTAAACAGTTCTTAAAATTCAAGTCTTAACAGCTCTTAAAAATTCAAATCTTAACGGCTTTCAAGAGTTCAAATAATAACAGATTTTAACAATTCAAATCTTCACGACTTTTCAATGTTCAAATCTTCACGGCTTGTAAAAATTCAAATCTCAAAAAAATGCGCCTAAATTACTCAAGAATCAGCAAAGCACAAAACTTCTCCAACTACCCTCAAAAATCTCTGATTTTTATTTTAACCGGAAAAATGTCTCTATTGCCAACCCCCATAAATGGCAAGTTTTAAATTGAGTAATATAGATTATGTGAGTCGGAACATCAGATCAGAATGATAAAGTTTTTTTCTCGTCTCCTCACATGGCCTTTATCTCGTCTCCACTAAAACAAATTTAGAGTGGGATGAAAGCTAATTTAAAGCTAATTTGTCATAAACTTTTTTCAACACAAAAAAGGGCTCTTTTTTAGTGGCTGAGATTGACTTACCCTTTATACGCTTTTTACTGTCGTAGGAAAAAGTTAACAATCTAATCTACTTAAGCACATTTCAATTAGTTCACAATTATTTTGACAAGATATCGTCACAAGATTTAAATCCAATTAGCAAAGGTAGCTTTAAGATGAGTCGCACGTTGGAACTTTTTTTTAATCACGTTGTTGCCACAATTTTTTACAAAACAACATTTTCAGTTCCACGAAAAAAAAAATATTTCGAGACAACAAATCAAATAAAATTCTCTTTTCTGGGGAAATACACAGCACAGAGACTACACACTTTCCGTCTTAATACACAGCACACACAAAAAAAATTAATGTTTGTCGCGAAACTTTTTTTTTAAAGGAGGCAGCAAGAAGTTCTTTAATTTCTTCCTTTGCTTACGGAATTCCTTATAAAATATACAAAAATATCTTCACTAATACACACACAAAAAACTTTTTTCCTTCCTTTCTTGTACTTGTCTCGTACCCGAGCGTACAAATTTTGTTCATTTACTGGCAAATCACTTTTAATCCACAATGCTAATCCTCGAATTTATTTATTTTTTTGTTTTTCATTTAAAAGATTTTCGTAAAAGGTAAAAAAGAAACTTGGAATAATCAGGCAAATGAGTCCGAAAGGTTGCACGTTTACCGTCTGAATGACACAAAATCCTAATGAATTATAGACTTATGACATTGGATAGTGCTTTTAAATGCATTTATTTGTGAAAACTATAATCGTTTTGAGTCACAACAGAACATGACCAAAAAAATTTTACTTCCTTTTTTTTGCGTCTTATCGATTGAAAATCTTCTCCGCAACTGAGCTTTTAAAATGAGAGTATTTGCTTGATTATGAAAAATCATTGCGATACTTTCCAGGATGAAACTTCCAGTGGACCGTTTGGGAAAATAAACTTTTTCATAGAAGTGCTGGAAAATGGAAAAGAAACTGGAAGTTTAAGGTCATCAAAACATAAACAACAAAATATGCTATGTGCGTAAATATTTATCAGCACATTTTTACCCGACCTTCTCGTGCTTTTGGTTCTTGTTTTTTAAGGTGATGATAAAGTATGGAGGAAAGTTGCAGAAAGCATGAATTGATGTTTATGTGCCTTTTCCCCATGTTTTTAAAATATTTATGAACACTGCCAACCTCAATTTAAATGCCTTTCAACATATGTGGATGTTTTCGTTTCCCACAATCTTGTAAATTTGCAATTCTGAATTTGAGTTATGCTGTATAATAAATTGATGTATATTAAATCTCTACAAATTGAATTTTAAATGCTATGAGCAGAATTTGTGCTTTAATTAATTCAATTGTTGTTCCTTATTGAGATTCTTTTGAGTTTTATTCGAATTATGTATGATAATGTTAAGCTGATTATATTTGCTTTATTGAAATTTAGGGGTAAAAAATTGATAGAAAGTTCTGAGAAAATTTATTAGCTTGAAATTCATTATATTCCTAAGGTGAAAGCTGTTGAAGTCAAGGACGTCGTTACTACGAAACTATAATTCATAAGTCGTAGGGATTATCACAGTCAGTTGACAGGAAATTGACGGGTTGCTATGTCAGGTCAGCACAGCGATGCTAGCACAACTGATAAGAAGAGAAAGGGTGTCCATCAAGTAGAACGGTGACCTAACGAGTTGAGTGATGTACTATATATGGGTTTTTTTTGCTATTTTGTGAAAGCAGAAAAACAACCTCATTGAATTTTGTGAAGATTCCAGGTCCGAGATATGAGCATTTGAAAACGGAACTAGGTCCGATTTTTCACATTCTTACTTTTTCAACTTTATCTCAAGCAAGACTAAACGAAAATTGTTGAAACTTTGCCTGTTTTATGTGCAATTGACCCTTAATCAAATAAACTTAACAAAAATATTTTAGGTTCCATAGCTGTAAAGATATGGCAATTTTACGATTCAACCTAAGGCAAAATTAGCTACAATTTTACATTTTTGACTGTAAATCGTATAAGTTTTGATAAAGAGTGTATAAACTTGGCCAGTAATTTGTGCAAGTGTTCTTCAATCAAATAAACTTCACAAAAATATTTTAGGTTCCATAGCTGTAAAGATATGGCAATTTTACGATTCAACCTAAGGCAAAATTAGCTACAATTTTACATTTTTGACTGTAAATCGCATAATTTTGATAAAGAGTGTATAAACTTGGCCAGTAATTTGTGCAAGTGTTCTTCAATCAAATAAACTTCACAAAAATATTTTAGGTTCCATAGCTGTAAAGATATGGCAATTGTACGATTCAACCTGCTACAAAATTAGCTAATACAAAATTACTTGATGGACACAGAGAAAGGAGCTCACTGTGATTTAGAATCAATCTTCAAGAATTGAATGGAATTAGTTTTGAGAGTGTTCGTAGTTTAAGATTCAAGATTGTAGCTTTGAAATGCATTAAGTAGACACAATTGCGTGAGAAACAGAATGAATAGTATCGATAAGTGATTTTATATTTATCTGTTATTAAAAACTTGCAATTTTGGCTTATCATTGAATCTAAGAATTTTTTGTTCCACATCAAAACTTAAGATCTTATTTTTAACTTATTTGAAAGCTCAATTAATGCTTTAATGATTGGAAAATGAGAATTAAGTCGGAGCAAAGCCATTAAATTGATTATCCATCATCAATAAAAGTAAATACTGCATTAAAATAAGCTATTTTGATTCATTATTGAATTTGGAAAATAAATTGTTTCACATCAATACTTTAGACTATTATTTAAGCTTATTTAGAAGTTAAATGATTGATTAAATGATTGCCAAGTGTTAATCTAGTCGGAGCAAAGCTATTAAATAGATTTTCAATCAGCAACTCCATCTAAATTATCTGAAAATTGGATTTTTAATTTCAATATTCAAACCTCAAAAATGTAATCAAACTTAACAAAATGGCGGGAAAATTCAAAAAATTTAGAGCTTAAATTTCAAAAATCACAATCTAGACAACAAAGCAAATCACGAACAATTGCAATTTTTCTCAAAGTTTGATGCTTATAAAAGCATGAGACTCAACAAAGCCTTCCGTCTGCATCACACAAAAGAATCACGTAAGTACATTTTTTTTATCGCGAAATTGCAGAAAAAGAAGAAAAGAAAAATTTAATGAGGTAAGTAAAAATGCTATTTTCTCGTCTCTTTAAAGTCTTTTTTCCTTTAGATTTTTTTCTTCAACTTTATGTTAAATGTTTCCGGGTAATTAAACAAGTCGTGCACTCGACGAACAGGAGTAAGAGATGGATAAAGATAAGAAGTATGAGACATGCTTTCATAAAAGACATCATTTCATAGACACAGTGATGAAAATAATAAATAAAAAAAAGAGCGAGTTGAGGAATACACAAATTCAACACATGTTGCTATGAGAAACATATAGCGCTAACAAGGATGAATTAAGAGGACTCAATGAAATATACGAGTTTGCCGCTTGAGCATAAATCATAATTTGTACGTTTTTTCTACGATATATGATGCACGAGAGAGTGAGAAATAATTTTTTTTTTCATCATCATCTTTCCGTACAGACTACATACTTGTTCTAGTGCAAAAGAGCTTGTTACTTATAACATTGTAGCTGAGTAATTGATATTAATATTTGAGAAAATGTTTAATTTTACTTACAGAAGTGTAAGTATTAAATACACAAACTAGCTTCATTCACATGATTATGTAGCATGTTAATGCATCCTTTTTCAAATATAATAAATGTTGAATGTGTATATTTATGAATATATGGAACGAGAACTGAGAATTAAAAGGATTTTGTAAGGATTAATTATCAAATATTCTAAAATTTAGGTAGGGATTTGGAACTGACACGAAAATGTTTATCTACATTGAGAATGCTGGCACTTAAAAAATATTAATTAAGGAAATATCCTTGTTGGAGATGTTCGTGCATGTTTCAATTTAATTGTCTTAATTATTATGCTTATTTTTAAATTTTTTAACATCTGTTTATGGAAGTTGATGGGAATGAATCTTTGATGTTTTAGATGTTTTTCTTGAAGAAGTTGATAACGGCATTTTAAAATTTGAAAAAACAACCGTTAAATTTTTGAATATTTAAAAACTTTAAAAACCTTTACATTTAAAAATTAAAAAAAACCGTTGAATTTTTAAAAAAATATAAACCGTTGAATTTTTGGAAATTTTAAAAACCTGTTAAGTTATCGAAACTTCAAAAAAGTTGAATTTTTGAAAGTTTGAAAACCGTTAAATTCTTAAAACTTTCAAAAATCGTTAAATTTGTCAAAGTCTGTAATTCAAGTAGTTTGATGTTCTATTTTCAATCCTATTATAGCTATATCCATGCAAACATGAAAATTTCAAAGAAGCATTCAATCGTGAAAAGGTGTAAAACCATCCATTTTTCCTGAAGGGTTAAATTCTCAATAAATTTCATGAAAAATATCACATTTGAATGTTGTACCTGAAAAAAATATTGGAAAATATACTCAAAAATCGATTATTAATCTCCAAAATGTGTTTAAAATTTAATTTATTCCTTCATAATTCACAAAAATCAAATTATTATCTAAAAACTGAAATTCAATTTGCTTCCGTCCATGTAAACAATTTTGCATTTATTAAAATGAAATTTTTTGCCTCACTTTTTCGCAATTGCTTCCTTCTCGGATATGCACTCGGTGAGTAAATCCAACATAATGTCCATTTTCACATTTAAAGTAGAATTTTCATTCTCTAATCTTTTATTCTCCCTCACCAACCTTGCAGTATCATCAAATTCTTCTTGCTGACTCTTATTAATGCTTATCCACTCGCCGTCGACAAATTGAAGCTCCCTTTCATTACTCAACTTGATTTTAATATTCTTAAAATCATCTATATCCTCATTATATTTGGCAACTGAATTTAATCTTAATTCTCTCTGTTTCGGATGCTTGAAAGTTAACTTCCGCTGTGGAAATATTGGCATATTTAATTTAAATTGAATTTTTTTTCTTTCTCCTTCAACAAAATATTTTTTTATATTCACACCGTTTTCACGTGTGAATCTTTTGGTTTTGTTCAGATTGAAAAATCAGTTTATCGAATTTTGCTAGGAAATGCAGCAAGAGCTTAACATGATCTGATATGAAAAGTTTGTGCCTGAAATTTCCCAGGGGTTGACACGATTTCATCTTGAAGAAAAATTTCATAATCCTATTGTTAAAATGAAATTTTTGTATGAAAAGATGAAAAATGATGAAAAAAGATGAAAAAAGATGAATTTTTTGTATGGAAAGATGAAAATGATGAAATTTTCGGGTGAGCTCGGTTCGTATGAAAAATACCTCGAAAAAGCAAATTTTACTTATTTAAAGGAAAAATAAATATTTGCATTTTTTATTTAAAGTGAAAAACCCCAAAGAAAGGCATATCTTTCGTCTCGATTTCCTTACATGAGATGAAAAAACCCTTGGAACAGTCATTTTGCATCTCGATTTTCTTAGATGAGATGAAAAACCCTTGGAAAAGTCATTTTGCGCCTCGATTTTCTTAGTTGTGATGTGAAAAAGCGAATTTTCATAAATATTTTTGTAAAAAATGATTTTTTAAGGTAATTTGTATGAAATTATATACTTCACAAACCAAATAAAACGTGAAATTCTTAAAGATGAAAATGATGAAGGAAGATGAAATTTTTGTATGAATTGATGAAAAAAGATGAAGAAAGATGAAAATTGATGAATTTTTTGTATGGAAAGATAAAAAAATGATGAAAAGATGAAATCGTGTCAACCCCTGGGAAATTTCACATCTTCTGCAAAAAACAGATTTCAAATTGGTTAAGGCATTGCTGAGAAAATCGCAAAATACGCTTTCTGTAAGCTTTATACCTTCAAACTTATGCTGAGCAAAGCTCAGCTGACACGCTAGCTTTACACCTTCAAACTTATGCTGACCAAATCTTGGTTCTATTCATAAGACTTTTGATGGTACAGTGTGAATATATCCGCATTGAGTTTCTACCCGATACACTAGTTTAATCAGAAATTTTTTATGAACAAAAAAAAAAGTCTACGCTCAAAACAAATGAATATATTTTTTTTGCCATAGCAACCGTTGCTTTGGGTTATGACTGTACATACAAAAATAATAAAAATAAAAAAAGAGCGAAAACAAAATAATTTTTTAAACTTCCCCCCTTTCCTTATGACTGCATTGCATTTTATATATTTTTTTTTGAACTGTGCTGTGCTTATGGTTTCATCCGCAATATTTATAAAGTCTGATTAATCGTAATTTATTTGAGCGTGAATTTGTATATAAAGTGGATAGGAGAATGACAGAGAAAGTTGAAAATAAATCATTGGATCAAGATGCAATTACTGGATGTGAAGAAAATTCAGATAAAAGCATTCGGTATAGTTCATCTATATTCATTTGTGTCATTCAATCTTACTAATTTTATTGTTATCATCAATTCTGATTTTCTAGGGAAGTTTTTAATTTAATGAATAGCTATGAAGCTCTAGTTATTGAGATACAGGATGAGGCGAGGAAGTTTCAAGAAGATAATCAAAAATTAAGGAGAAATCTTGAAAGTGTTGTTGCTGAGAATGTTCGACTGAGAAATCAAGTTCCTGATGATCCTATTGTGGAGTTTAGAAGTGTCTATATTGAAGTTGCTGATAAAATATTCAATAATATGAGGAACCAGCTCATGCTGTGTTATAAGGTAAATGCTTGAATTGTAATTTTTGGTTTTAGAAGTTGTAAGTCATAATCAAAGCCACACTCGCCTTACGGCTCATGAAAATTCTAGAAGTTTTTTGCAGCACGCTAGTGTGCCGCGGCACATGGGTGTGCCATCACTGATTGATTAACTTAATATTTTGAAAAGCTAGCGTGCTTAAAAAATTACAAAAGTCCTCGTGTTATTGATCGAGGGACTTCAGTGCATTTTTGACGCAGCGATCAGTATATGATAATCTAATTATTTTGCGTTCGTTTACAGATCATTAGAAGTTTAAAAGATTATTCATTTGAGTGTAATTAACAAATAATTATAATGAGTGCTTATATAGAATGGCTTTATTATTTAACGTTCAATAAATAATTTGAAATTTTGCCATTAAAAGTTGCACTGCAAAAACATTAATTATAGTATAATTAATAATTTGTTGCAATGAATTTCCATACAAAAAGGGTTTATCATTAAACGTTTTTTTGGAATTCAAAGTTTTTAACGGTCAATAAATAATTTGAAATTATAGAGGTAATGTTGAATTTTTTAAACGTACTCATCACGTGGTTTTGTTTATGAAATAAAAAAACCATTAATTATATTATAAATACACTGTTTCAAGACTTTTAACTGTTCGATCGGACAATAAACAATAGTAATGGAGCTAATAAAATAAACCTGAGCTCTCTACGATGCCTGGTTAAAAAGTTTTTCTTCAGACGAACGAACAAACGAACGAACATTTCGCATTATTAAGCTCCCTTTTTGTATACAAGTATACAAAAATGCGCTAAAAATCTCAAGACTAGTTTCAAGGGGTTGTATGATGTCTTGTTGCACACTAATTTGAAAGAAGTATCTTAAATTAATTTGCTTCCTCGTGTGTACACTTGACACTAATGTCTATAAATTAAATAGATCTACGGTCAATCACATGTCTAGTTATTTATTCGACATAAGCCTCAAGAGCCCAGTCGGGTCCTACTAATCACTTTGCTCGATCATTTCAAACAACATCAGCTTTGAATTACAAAATCTGAACAGCTAAAGTTTATTTATATATTTTTCTTTTAAATCAATAACATCCAACATCCATCCTCTACTGCTCGAAGCATCAAATTTTCTTACAAATTAAATCCATAAAAAAACCTTATTTTTTCTCCATCTCATCCAAATGCACATTACGCAATATCCTGTAACATGAATGTAAATAAATAACACCAGGAGAAGGAAATGTATGAGAATTTATGGCACAAGACTGCATCCGTATTGGAGCATGAAATTCCGAAGAACTCAATGGCAAAGGTAATTTCCTCTCATATTTCTATATACATGTATCATAATAATAAAAACAGGATATAAATCATCATTTCATAGATTAAAAATGAATACGATATGGAAGTGAGGCAACTGAAAATGAAATTGAATGAATGTCAGGAGGATAACAAGAAGAAGATGGAAATAAATGCGACTTTACAGAAGAATTTTAGAATTCTGATGAAAAAGCTGGAATGTATCCAAACTGAAAATGTGGAATTAAAAGACAATAATAATCAGCTTTTAGAGAAATTAAAGAACCTTGTGGCAGACAAGGACGAAACAGAACGACTGCTTGACGAGTCGAATGAACTTAATAAACAACAAATGCAAAAATCAACAGAATCATTTTTAAAGATGCAGGAAACGATTAAAGTTGCAGAGGGTGCCATGGCGGAAGTTGAGCAGCTTATGGAAGAGAAACGACTGCTCGAAGAAGAGCATGACAATTTGGCACGAACAATTGGCTCGGTAATGAAGGAAGCATCTGAAAAAGTTGAAAATACTATAGAAGATATGCGAAAACAGCATAAAGTCGAAATAGAGAATTCTACAATTCAAATAGAACGTCTGAAACAGGAGGTGGAACATGAGAAACTAAAAACAACATCTGCAATGCACCAAGTCAAGATGCTTGAAGAGAAATTGCATTCAATTGAAATGACAAATTCGTATCTTGGCGAGGATTTGAAAGTTGCTCAAAAAACACTTGTAAGTAACGCGACATGTAATTGATTTGAATATTTATTTATTCTCTGTGGCATATGACTTCTGCATAGCATGGAAATGGAAAGTGGGTTAGTTGTGTGATTGATTAGTCAATAATGATTAATTGCTTTGGCTACCTAAGAGTATAAGCTTTATTGAGCAGCATGTTGTCTTGGTCAGATGGAATTTTTTTGATATTTTAAATATTGGGGAGGATGTGACAGCAGCTGGTTAAATATCAGGTGTAAAAATTTTTTATTTTCATTTAATGGTTGCTCATAAATGAAGTTTCATTTAAGGGGCTTAAAGTAATGACGCTCAGCTTTAGTGATTTACAATCTGAATGTCTTAGGAATTTATGGATTGAGTAACGCTTAGCTTCAGTAATCATAGATTGACTTACACTCACCTTTAGTAAAGCATAGGCTGACTGTTGCTCAGCTTTGGTAAAGCATAGATTGACTGATGCTCAGCTTTGGTAAAGCATAGATTGACTGGTGCTCAGCTTTAATAAAGCATAGACTGAGTTACGCTCAGCTTTAGTAAATCATCGACTGACTGACGTTCGGCCTTAGTAACTCGTGAATGAACTGACGCTCAGCTTCAGTAACGTGCATTTATAAATTAAAAAGTTCAAATATTTAATTAACAATTTATTAAATCACTTCCTTCTTTCAGGCCGACACTGATGAAGAACTAAAGAAAATAAAATCTGTGATGTCTGATGAAAAGGAAGCTAAGCATCTCTGTCAATATGAAGTGGAGAAGCTACGTGCAATAATTGAAAATAACAAAAAGATTAAAGAGAAGTGGAAAGTTGTTATTTTTGAAATCACAAAGACTCTTGAAGATAAAATTAAAAACTTAATTCTTGAAAATCATGACTTGAAGACTTCAAGAAGAACAGTCTGACTGTGTTCATTTACCAGATTTTACACTTATGGATATATTTTGTTGATATTTAATAGTAAAAAAGCTTTAAACAGAAATAAACGAGTTTCCTTTTGTGATCTAAATTTAAATCCTTTTCTCATTTTTCTGAGTAGTTCATATGCTTCATGATGTTCCTGATGATGATGTGAAAGGAAGATGTAATAAACTATGAAAAGGAATATGCAAATATGAAATATTCTTCACAGGAAAGGAATATTTGAAAAGTTGAAGTGTAGGTGGATGAAAAGTTTAAATTGAGATGACGCATATGGACTTATAATATATTCAAGGTCTTGCATGTGAAGATGATGAGAAGCTAAGGAAACTTTTAAATAACTTTTCAGTTTGATGAAGTTGTTAGGATATTCTAAGAATAGTAATTTAAGATTTTTGAATCATCATCATGGGAGTAGATTGTAATTGAAAGGTTGTAAGTTGGACGAATTCAGATAATTTACGGTTATCTTATGACTAACCTGAAAAGCACAAGTAGATTAATCGATCAAAAATCTAACACCAAACCGGCACAAATCTAGCATGATGCTGGCTTTGATTTAAATCCAACACCATGCCAGAGTCACGCCAACTTGGTTTAACCGATTGTGCTATTTGGGTAAACACAAGATTCGCTGTTGTGTGCTTCATGGTTCATTATAAGATCACTTTTTAACTGCTGTATGTGTAAAGTGGTGTAAAGTAATGAGAATCAACTCTTTTTTTAATGAGAATTGAACCTACTTGCTCAAAAGAGGTGACGTTTTATTGCATAATCCGAGATCTTGCAAAGTTGATGGCTTAAGATGTATTAGCCCACTTTGGCTATCCTTCATACACATTTAACAAGTTCCACTAGTCTGAAACTTAAGCCTTTATACTCTTTAATACTCTTAGAGCCATATCTTAGTCCACTGTTCATTTCTAGCTATTCTGTAATCTAATATAAGCTGATCTGATCCTTTACTGATTATAAATCCAAATTTTTTTCAAAGAATGAAGATCAAATGCTTAACCTAATAAAAATCTAGCTTAATATAGTAACTAAAGGAAGTGGCTTAGACTATAGTCGCCTATCAATTGAAAACATTTCAATAAAATGTTACTGGAACTTAAAAATATCCTTAGAGAACTTATAACTTCATAACAGAAGTATGTCAATGGAATCTAATTGTAGATTCAATGGCACTCTTGTTTCCGTAAACCCTTAAAAGCTTTTCATATCCTCAAACTATGCAAACAAAAGTTATAAGTTTCTTAGTAAGTAAATTGTGGCCTTCTCAATTTACAAACAGCTATTAGCAACAACAACAACTTCATACCAGCATGAAACCTAGACAAAATGTAAGAAATTAATTCGGAAATCATCTTGAACAAAAATACATCCTTTACAGAAATTTGCATTATGTAATTTGATATTTTACTTGATGATGTAATATGAGCTTGCATGCTGGAGATTATGCAATGTTGCTCTTATTCATCAAGTTTTACCAGGAAATAAAATTTTGAATATTGAGATGTTTAATTAAAGATCAATGCTTTAACATTTTCATACTTACTTCTGTTGAAACTTTAAAGGAATCAATACTTTGCAAAAGAAATCTTAATAGAGACTGAATTCTGTTCAGATTACATACTTATCGTAAAGTAAAGAACATTCTAAAACTACCAAGTAAGTTTCAAGTGCAAAAAAGTTTGAGATGTGCATATTGTGCTGTAAAGCTATATTCAATGTTCAAAGAAAAACTTTCGGTAAATGCAAAATATTTTCTTGTTCATTTTTAAACTCAAACTTTCTTTTTTTTTCCTGGAGTACATTAGAGTATTTCTTTTATAAGATTTAAAGTTTCATTTCCTGCACACATTCAACATTTTATGCAACACATTTTTCAGTGTCTTTACGGTTTGTAAAAATAGAACACCGTATATTGGTTTTAATTATTTAATAATTTCGTGGGATGGCTCGATTGAAAAGTTTTAAAATCGATACGTGTATGGGAAATAGGAGGAAATGTGATAAATTTCTCATTTGGGGGGTTGTGTGACAGTTATGTCATGTTGATTTATTATGGTAACGCATCAAATTAAATGGGACTTAAAATAGGAGTCTATGGATAGAGGGAGGAATAGCTTTGTGGAATACTGTTGCATTCAAGAGTGTAAATGAGTCTCAAACCCCTTTGGCCTAGGTTTCAACAGGTTCTCGAAAGATCGAGCTTTATGGAAACGAATTTGTCAGTGTGAAAGTCACGCATCTATGGTCGAGTGGTTAAGCAGCAGACCTGATATTAACAAACCTAGACTTAGTGAAGTCACAGGTTCAATTCCCACCAGAAGCTGAAATCTCAATTTATATCATAGAATCTTGTCGATATTGACGACATTTCAAACTTTATTTAAAAATCTTAAAATTGATTCTAAGCAAAGCTTTCACTAGCTTCTATAAATAGCCACATACTCAACATTCTAATTCCTCAGTCACCAAAATAACAACTCTGTACCATCATTTGATGTCAGCTCTATAAAACTCTTTCATTATTTCATGCTTCGAAAGCAGATCCAACTACTTTAAAATATCAAACATAATAAAACAAGCACTTCAGGAAGTAACATCACTCATCAACTGTGTCATTAATAAAAACATTTTTTTTTTTTTCATTTCTTTAACATAATTTAATTTTAGTTTCAAAGGAGAAGTCATTCAAAGAGGTTCGTAACTTAACATCATCATCATCATCAACGAAGACGTGTATGATAACAGAATGAGTAAGTGGTGCTTATTAATTCAATTAGTTCATTTCAAGTATGTTACATGGATATATATAAAGAGAGTTATGAATGTCATTTACATAGATTTCAATCCACTTGAAACATTTTATAAGGACTCAATTATTTTGATAACGGGAGGCAATGGATTCGTCGGCAAAGTGCTAATTGAAAAGTTGTTACGATGCTTTGATGTGGAGAAAATTTATCTTCTAATACGTAGTAAAAATAACGAGGATGTGGAGAGGAGAATGGAGAATTTTCTGAATGAACCTGTAAGATTTTGGTTTGTGGTGATTTGTGCTGTGTTCGAAATGTTATTTTTTAAGTTGCGGTGATGTGGATTTTTTAAAATAATTTTGTGTGATCTATAGGTAGGGTTACCATCTAATTTTCATGAAAATACAGGACATTTGGTAAATTTTTTCGAAAAAAACAGGACATAGAGTAAAACTCGAAAATTAACGGAAATTTTCATGAAAAAAATAAAGGACCAAGAACAAAATTTAAAAATTTATACAGGACAGTCTTGAAAAATACAGGACTGTCCGTTGAAAAACTACGCAGATGGTCACCCTATCTATAAGTAAGGATATCAAAAATTATAAAGTTTAATTTTTTAAAATTTACAAAACCGTTGAAAAAAATTCAAATCTTACAAAACTGATCAAATTCAAAATTTATAGAATTGGTTAAAATTCAAATTTTACAAAACCGTTGAAAAATTTTAAATCCTACAGAACCGCAAAAAGTTCAAAATTTACAAAACTGTTACAAATTCAAATTCTACAAACTATAGAAAATATTCAAATTTTACAAAACCATTGAAAAAATTTAAATCTTATAAAACCTACGCAAAATTCAAATTTTACAAACCCGTTAAAAATTCAAATTTTACAATATCGTTAAACTACAAAATTCTAAAATTCGTCTATAAATTCAATTTGCAAATCCCTAAAACAATTTTTTCACCTCCCTTATCTCCTTATTTCCTGCTGACACAGCACAAATATCGACAAACGCAGGAATAAAAAAAACTTCCTCCCAAAATTTAATATTCATTTTTATTGGGGTAGATATTTGACATGTTACGTGAGACTAATCCAGCTGTGCTTCGGAAAATTATTCCCATTGAGGTAGATTACAATGCTTATGATTTGAATATAGATCCTCAGACCCTCGACCGTCTTCATGGAGAAGTTCAGGTAAGCAAAAATGTATAAAAATAAAAAGTTGCATTCCAAACTCAAAAATATTTTTATGACAATTCAGATAGTCTTTAATGTAGTCGCATCTGTTAAATTCAATGAATCACTAAACGACGCTATTCAGATAAATTTTTTGGGAACAAAGAAAATTGTTAAGCTCGCCTTAGGCATCGAAAAATTAAAATCCTTTGTTCATGTATCAACGCTTTATTCGAATTGCAATCGACAGGATATTGATGAGAAAATCTACGATCATATACTGAGTTATAATGAATTGATTCCTGTTGCTAAGGTAATACAGCACTTGAAGGACGATGTGAATGCAGAACAATTTTTATTTCAAAATCTCCCAAACACGTATACGCTTACAAAGCATTTTGCTGAAAAACTCGTTTATCATCAAACATTTTTCATGCCATCAGGAATTTTTAGGCCTGGAGTTGGTAAAGACTTGTTACTCTTTGAACTTTTTTTTTAATGGCATTCATCATCATCATTTTTTATTATCATAGTGATATCAAATTACAAAGACTTTCCTGGTTATACTGACAATGTTAATGGGCCAACGGGTGTAGTCGTGTGGACTGTACGAGGTTATATTCATTGTATTTATGGAGATGTCACAAAACGTGCAAATCTTATGCCTGTAGATTATTGTATCAATGCCCTTATAGCTACAGCATGGGATATTCATGAGAAGTATGATAATTTTCACATTAACCCTCATTATTCACTCATTTTCACATTATCATTTTTTCCATTTTTTTTTTTGTCATCGTTTGAATGACATCCATCTACTCTATGAATGTAGCTATCAAGAGCGTTTAAGGACCTGCTCAAACATTCCCATTTACAATCACATGTTTAATGAAAATAATTTAAAATGGAAAGAGTTAATGGATTTGGTGCCGCTAGGCTTTCATGAGCCACTCCAAAAATCTATATGGTAAGTTCGTCCTTTATTCTGGAAAATTCTCGTTTATTTAATTTTTTAAAAGGATCAAAGGAAAGTCCTTGTGTAATTGAATTACTCTGCGATGGGATTTGTTCATTTGTGATGTTGAATTTAAATGGTTTGAAGGAGTTTGAGGATGTGTGATGCTAAGCTGTGGTTGAATTCTAGGACAACGAGGGGTATCACACCCTAAGTCCAGTGTTGGCCAACCTTTTTTGTGGTTCGGCACCTTGATCAACCGCATAGGTACAGCATACGATTAGTGGGTTATTCCAATTTTTTTGCGGCGCACGAGTTGGACATCATTGCCCCAAATCGTCACTGGATGTTCACTTAGTTGACAAAGCAGCTTTTAAAATTTGATGTACATTATTGGTGAACAGCCCCATCAATGTAAAGCTTCCTGAAAGAGGGTGATTTCATGAATTTATCCCCCCTTTTTTTGTCAATTAAATTACGAATTGTCGACCATTTTTACAAAGGATGAACACTGTTGTCACCAGATAATTCATTAAAGCAGAGGTGGTCAAACTTTTTTGAACCACAGCACACCTTACTGTAAAGCCATGACCAGTATCGCACACAGAATACGGTTCATGGGATTTTCTGAACTTTTTGTCGACACACTAACGTGCCGCAAAACATAGGTTGACTATCACTGCAATAAAGCCATTCATATTCATCTGAAGCAATGACGTAGTCAGAACTTTTGTATGTTAGAACCAATCATCCCCCTTATTGTAGCTATAAAGAAGACAAACAATTGTTAAAACTACCATTAAGGAATCATGCAACTAACACATGTTTTGTGTTCTTTACAGGTATTATTCGTATTTCATTGTGTCATCAAAGATTATGTTCAAAATATTAAATTTCACTTATCACACCATCCCGGCATTTATTATGGATATATTAGCATTCATGATTGGTAAAAAGATGATTTATCGTCGTGCGTATGCAAAAACGGAAAAAATTCTTATTATTATGTCGTTTTTTGGTTTACGTGAATGGAATTTTGGTAATCGTAATATCCAAATGTTGTTGGAGAAAACAAAAAAATTCAGCTATCAACGTGGCAGTTTCGATTTTGACATGCGAAAGATAAATTGGACGGAATATTTTCGCAATTTTATTCCCGGAATAAAGAGATATTATTTCAAGGAAAATGCTGGCAGTGTGAAGAGGATAGCAGCATATTACCATTGGTACATGTCATAACTTTTATTTATTATCTTTTGCGAATCTGCTGAGTCATTTTCTTCTTGTCTGAAATTTTCAGGTTAAAGAGGATTCACGTTACATTCAAGTATCTTGCTTACTTTCTATGCTCAAGGAAGATTCTCAACATTCTCTTGGCCATTTTGGGAAGGAACTTTGTGAAATATTGTGTGAAGTAAAAAAACCGGTAAAAATTTGAATTTGTTTTTTTAAAACTTTTTGAAATTCAAACTTTAAAAAACCGTTACAAAACTTTGTTTTTTTGAAATTTTTTCAAAACCGGTGAAAATCAAAATTTGAAATTTACAAAACCTTAAATATTAAATTTAAATTTTGATTTTTTTAAAACTTATTCAAATTTTGAAAAACCGTTACAAAATTATTTTATTCTTTATAAATGTCATCTAATCACATACTGATGATATGTTTCATGTAATCACATTCTTGCAAATTTCCATTGCTTCAGCACATACCTAATTTATCAAGAATTTTTCATGTAAAACAATCGAATTGAATTTAAATAAATTTTAATGAAAAGAAACTCATGCGAAGCATTTCAATTACATTTTACAATTTCAAATAAATGTGGATTAAATATTTTATTTTCTTATGTTCTCATTATTACGTATTTTTCATTCACATATGAAAATTCTATTGAAGAGTTGATACAGTGTAAGAATTCTTATACTCATTATTATACAATCATGATGAGGATTATTAAAAAATTTCTTCGTAGCTTCACAAAGTTAAAGAAGAAGATTTTAAAGTATTTTACTTGAATATTTTCAGACTTGACTAAAAGTTTATTTTCTTGTGTATAAATCTTTATCAGAAGCTTCTGCAATGTACTGTAGGGAAATTGTTCTTATCAAATTATGAAGCCTTCGAGGATATCTTAAAGATGTTTGGGTAGATTTGAATTTAACAATATTTTTGTAGTATTTGCAGTTATACGTATTCTTAGAAAGAACGGAAAGAACTAACTTAGGGGTCTTTGGTTTCAAAAACACCATTTTTAACGCACAACCCCCCCTCCTTCCACGCCCCACCTCTAAACAAAACTGTCACAAATGTCAATTATTCCTCTCTCTCTCTCTCTGAGCGACTTCATTCTTTATTCTTGGTCATTGTTTCAGTCATTGTCGCTTTATCGCTTACTCCCCGAGCCCCCCCCCCCCCCTCCTCCCCAAACCGCATGTGCATAACTGTTGTTACTGATGTAGGAGGTTGATTGCGTCTTTATTGATCACTGAGTAGTTTGGGATGTCTGATAAGGTTCCAACCTGCAGACACCTTAAAAAAATTCCTGAAAAATGGCCATAAGTTTTTTCAAATCTCTAGTTGGAGAACCAAAACTAGCCTTCATTTTTCTATCAAAATTTTTATTTCTAAGACTCGACCTGCATCTAAATTACAAATCATTCCAAAATAAATAACATTTCATTGCCAAAAAATCCACATTCCACTAAAAATCTGTTAAAATTGTCTAGAATTTAGAGAGCTAGTCAATCAATCAAAATCCAACATAAATACGACACACAGTATGACAACAAAAACAATAATCACTGTGATGAAAAGTCCCAAAAGTGTTTTTTGTAGAACTTGATACTGAAATTATTTCAAATTAGCAATAATTATTTCAATTTACAAATTTAATTCCCCAAAAACTTACAGGCAACTTTTTCGAGGAACTGCTATTTGAAGTTTTGTTTCGCTTCATTTGACCACAAATGTTTATCGTCTGCAATGAATTTAATCGATATAAATTTCTAGTTAATAACTTTACAGATTACAATGACTTACCATGAAAATTATGTGCATGAGGAGATAAAATGCTACAAATGATGCCAAAATGTAGAGCGTGTAGTGCGGTAATCCAACTCTTGGAAATCTAACAGCAAAGAATATCGTAATTACAGCTAATAAATGAGTTATAGTTCCAAATGCTTTATGAAACCAGTTGAATAATGGACGAGCAACATCATTTGGATCCGGGCTATTTAGAAATTAAATGAAATGTTTCAATTCAAAATGTTCATTGCGGCATAATTTCCCAAATTTACCGAAATAGAGCTCCAATTGGCTGAATAACTGTAAATACAAGCACAATACAACCCATAATTGCGTGTGCTGATGTTCTCCATTCGCCGGTGTATACAAAAATTGTTATGAAGCCAGCAATAGTCAGTACAAAGGTAAGTGCCATACATAGCATATGCCAGAAGAACCACAAATCCTTTCCACATAATTTTGAATCAGGCCACGATTTTTTAAAGTATCGAGCAATGACAATTCCAATAGAACTCAAACCTATCCATGAAATAATCATCAGTGCTCCATGAGTCAATTTTAATGGATTCTTTGCCGTTTCAACATCTACAATCTGTGGTTCTGTCAATAATATTCGAGCATGGGAAGTTCCTTCATTTGAATGCATTCCAACACTATTTGGACCAACAGCCATTCCCCCTGCTAACAGTAAATAGAAATTGTTGTTTACGAGATCAAAAGAAACGCCACTAACGACACTTTCAGGAATTCTTTGAACTTTGCAGTATATCCTCCCATCCACATCCCAACCTTCAACAAAGTCAATGATGTTTGCATCCTACAATGTTAATTCAATTGAACATAAATTTCATTCATTTGCCATTTTGAATTTGAATTAAACCCACTGTGCCTAATCTTTGTGCTCCAGAAATTCCAATAGTCCATGATTTAAATGATGTTATACCTGCCTGAAGCCTCACACATTCTATTACGGATGAGTCACCCATACTTTGTGAATTTGATAAGCCCATTGCAACGTAATTGTGATTAGCTATGTGAGAATGAATAAAAAAGTATTAATCTAGTGATTTTCTGTGAGGGGATAACAACATGATGGGAAATTTTTTTGATAAGAAATTCAATTTTCCCCGTTTCCAATCATGTTGTTTTCCTCTTGGTTCTATAAAAAAAACCTTTTTAGGGGGGAAACAACATGAAGGTGCCATATTATTGTTGAGAATCTCCGAAAAATGTTGTTATCCCCCTTAGTTATTGTAAAACTAGAAAATAAAATGCTGAACTCACCAGTCGATAACAGTTCAAATGTAAAATTAGGATTGTCATACGTCACAGCACTAAGCATTTCACAACTTCTGTTTGGTACACAAAAAGACGGAATTCCGAAACAAGCTTTTGTGACACCACAACCTTGATAAACGTCATAGCTTGGCACTATTATCGACGAAGTTTGATAATTCACCCAAAACACTGCGAATGTCTGAACAATCGTGACGCTGTCGGTAAAGAATTTAGATTTTTTCGCGATAAGATAATCAAAAATGACAAATCATAATGAACTTACAAAAAAGTTATCGATGTGATTTCTGATGTCTGAGGTGCTTCCCACGTAAGTACGACTTCTGTTTTTACAATCGCGTTTGTATGTGTTGCAGCAGAACCTTGAAGTTGACCACAATTCAGCAAGCCGACGCCATCAGTCTCTACAAATCTTCCAATAAAATTGTTTGCTTGATCTCTTGCCAAAATTTTATACCCAGCAAAGCCTTGACCTGGATTCGCTCTGATTATGACAGAAATTTGTGAGCCTGCAGTTATTTGATCCGGAACAATCAAAGTTATTGGAGGATTTCCTGATTGTGGGACATTAGACTGATGGACCGGGACCATAGCATTGCAAGTTCCAGTAGTCGCTCCTTGTGGAAAGCTCAAAACATTATTGACGCACAAAATCACTAATAAAATTAAATACCGAAACATTTTGGAAGCACGTCTTATAACTGCAAACTTCAATTAAGGAATGATAAATTTTAAAACAATAGATAAAACTTAGAAATGATTTGATAATGACTGATTACGATAAGGAGCTGTTTATAAGTGTCGTCCATCATAAACTTAAATTTTAGGACTTCTCGCCTATCACAAAATTGCTATTTTACTGAAATGTCACACTCATTTATCAATGAACCTTGTTGGACTAATTATGGACGGATAAAGACCCCATCCCATATGGATGTGTCATTACTTTTGAGTTTGAGAGGGTCTGGAATCGTGTATTTAAGTAAACGTCATTTGTGAATGATCACAGATTGGCCTAAAGCTTATTCGCTATCAATAGCTTGATAATCGTAAATGAATTTGATAAATTAAATCCACACTTCTGAGATAAAACAGCATAAATATTAATATAATCACTAGCCCAACTGCATCCAACTGATGTACAATTGAAACAGTAAAAGGTCGATTATTCTGCTTAATTAGTCTCAAATTCTAAAATTAGTCATCAAACAAAACAGAAAATTAATCATAGCAAGAAACTTTATAAGCTTCATTAAGCTCTCTCATGTAGGAAGTAAATCTCTGTGATGTTGATGATGTTCCTTATTCACCAGTTGTTTTAAAATTTCTTAAAGAGCCTTCGCATGTCATCATTGAAGTATGTACTTTAAAATATGACACATAAACCTAATGGTACTTCATATATTTCATTTTAACGTTAGCTCCCCCATATCATGTACTCGAAACACATATATCCGTTGATACTTATACATGCTCTTCATCCTTAACATTTTTGGTAGAACGAGCACATTATAATATTATTATTCTTTTGAGGAGAAAAGATTCTGCATTCTGCCTCTAGAAAATGAGAATGTGTTGTGTGGATGTTATGAATACAGTTAAATTATATAAAAAATTCCTTTACGACCCCAAATTTTTTCCCTCATATAACCAAGGGGATAACAACATGATGGGAAAAACTGGCTTTCCCATTATGTTGTTATCCCCCCAAAATTTTTATTCGCAAACAACTAAGGTAAAAAAACAAGATGATAAGAATATGCGCGACAATCTCTCAACAAAACCTTTTCCCATCATGCTGTTATCCCCTTGCACATAACACATATTATCGTTAAAAAGAAAATTACTGTTTACTTATTGAATGAGCGCGTGTATGCAATCATGTTTCTTTAAATATTTATATGCTGTTTGCAGAAAACATCATCATTGTTATAAATTACACATTTTTGTGGCTTTTCCTTAATGCGAAGCAGAAATGAAGCTGTCAAAAGAAATACACGGAAAATTTCCTACTTCTTAAATTGTTTCACCTTCTTATTTGCAAAATATTTGTATGCTTATTGGGCGATTCTCTGAAGGGGAAATCAAAAATTTTCAACTTAAAATTATTTTTTTGACCGATTTTTCTACTAAAAGATAGAAGTTATATTTTCAGGTCTTCTGATGTAGTTTTCCATTATCTATCTGTTGACTTATTGTAACAACCAGTATCAACCATTAATTAGCTTAATTCTAGAGATATTTTCATTATTCGATAAAATGCTCCGTGACCGAAAATGGAATTTTAAAAAAAATTCAATAGGGGAATGAATATTTATCCATTAATTTCTTATGTTTGCATCATGAAATGCATATCAAATGGTAGAGTATTATCAGTTTTATAATATTTATGATTCAAATCTAAGGAAAGCAGCTTAATTAAAGAGAAAAATCGATTCTCCGAACGTCAACTTTATGTCACGGAGCATCTTTAAGCTTTTATTTTACCGATCCGTAAAAAAATTACCAGAAAAACGAATCAAAAAAATTAAAATACTACTCTTATCTTTGATTATTATGTAAATCTATTAATTGAACTTAATAGAGTAATTATTTTTGATGATTTGAGACTGTTTTGATATTTAAACTCAAATGTATTTAAAATATATTAACCAAAAGATTTTTATGATCCAAACACAAATAACCTTGGATTAAAAAAGCTTATTTTTCAAAATTCCACCATTCTGAAGAATCGCCCTATTACTTTTTGAATGTGCTGAAAAGAATCCTATAAAAGCTTTTATTTGGAATATTTAAGCATTGAATTATGTTCCTGAAAGTGACTTACCTTTATTGATTTACATTGAATTTAATTTGAATGAATGACAGCTGGAAGTTCTTGATATTAATGTTAAAGACATTGTAATTAGCACAAATTAGATTAACAGGAAATGTTTACAGAAGGATTTTTGCGCCAAACATTTAACCCGTTTAATGAATATAAAAATTACAAAAATATTTTTTTAAACTACCTTCAAGCTGTTGTGGCTGGGAATTTGATTTTTAAGAAATCTTAAAATTAGCTTGATTCTGTTTGGAAAACGACTTGTAATTTTGAAGAATTAGAAGATTTTGAGGATTCATAAAAAACATCGGATTGTTCCTCAAACAATTCAAAATTTAAAAGCCGTTAAAATTGACAAATTAATAGAACTTATTAATTTCATTGCAAAGTATGCATCCCTACCACAGCAGCTACAAAGCAATTCAAACCAGCTTTTCAACTCCCTAAAATTGTTTCATATGTATTTAAGTTTTATGTAGCAATTTCTTAAGAAAACTCGTGTTGCCATTCACGCACGTTTTACAAACAAAAGCCGAGAAAAGAAAATTTCCTGAAAAATAAAAAAATTGCTGCTGGTATTTTTGTTATGCGTCCCAATTCGTCTTGTGCCTTCCTCAATTCAATTTTAAATTGTTATGACAATGAGTAAAATTTCAGTCATAATTGTCTGTGCGTATGTGAATCTGTTTACGATTCTAGAAGTCATAGATAAAAGTTATCTCATTATCATCATCATCTCCTCAACCCCTGAATTCGGGAGTTCTCATTTTTATGCAAAATTATATCATTGTTAATGATACGGCAACAAAGTTGGATGTTTTGTGTCGCCTTCTTTTTTCTGTCAATCTTCCTGCTCTTGCTCTTCCGATTACAATTTTTTTTATAATATCACATCAAGTTTGGAAGTTCAGTCATGCGCAAATTTTCAATATAATGTCTATTAATGGAATATCATGTGGAAGAGCTTTGACTGGAATATTTTCTCGAATTGCTGTGAGCTTTTGACTCTCTCACAAAAAAAAACTTATTCTCTCAATTTTCTCTAGAAACAAAAACATAAAAAATTTCCAGCTAAACAATTCAAGTGCAAAAAATAACAAAAACAAACAATGCATTAAGTCCTGAGAGAGATAAAAGGCGAAATAATGTCTCTTCATTGTGCGAGCTACAACAACAAACTAGACAATTCTCATTGTGAAACAAAAATGTGCGAGAGAATTCACAATAAAGAGCAAAAAAGGCAAAAATGAATGAAACAAAGGCAAATTGTCTTTTTGAAATTTTGCTTGATTGCGCTTTTGAATAACACATTTGCATGCCTATTGAAGCTAAAATGGAAATTTATTTATCACTTGTCTCTTCCTTTTTTTATTGCACATATATCTATAAAATTTTCTTTTATCAGGGTTGAAATGAATTACTTGTTGGGATAGGCTGATTATGTTACTTTAGTATATTTATAGCTGTATGATCTTCGTGAGCTGAAGTGGCTCGGTGGCGGAATGGTTTAGTACTTCGGTACCTAATTATTGCAATACCGACACAGCGATCATGGGTTCGAGACTGGCATGAGAAATTTTTCACTTGTTTTTCGAATCATATGTACTGGAAATAAGGATCACAGCCTTCCTTTATGGGCTACAGGCAGTGATGCAGTGGTTTGGCGCATCCTCACTCGTTAAACTCTCATTAGCTGCGAAATGCCCTAGCGCACCTCTGGATCACTATTGATCTGAATAGGTAAAGGTTATTTTTATGGTCTCAGGTGTATATTTTCAGGTTTGTGTTAAAGTCCTTAATTTTATTGACACACATTGAAATTCAATACTTTCATTTCAATGTGTGCCGATCGGGTTGGTCTTCAATCCCTTGACATTAAAGAACTGCATTGTATGGACATTGTCAATAGGTCCAATAGACTCTCTTAACTATCCAAACTCATGGTTCCACCCATACCACTCTACAGTCCAAAAATCAAACAACCTTACAAGTATTTACCAACAAAACTAATCCTTAAACATGCAATCCCTGACCTAGACTGATATCCTTTCAATAAAAACATGATTCAAACCAAAAAACTTCAAAAAACACAGCAGTTCCTAGTTTGCAGCAAGGATAACTTGTTGTCTGCTTAGTTTAGTCACGCGATGCGTTGTCTAAGCAACGTTTATGTCTACGCAGTGTTTATTTATTGGAAAACAAACAATTTGAGACATCCGCACGCAAACGATGTCTGTCATAATTAAATTCTCGGTTATCCTTAACCTCAAACTCGACAAATCCATTAAAAATTATACATTTATAAAGCAAGGATTTGCTCCCTCATCCCTGCATCTTCCAGTCTGTAGGAAATATTGTACAGCTTTTTAAATTCATTTTTAATGCTTGAATGCGAAATGAGATGAGGGTAGGAAGGATGCGTGATACACTTTCAAAAGAAATTATATTCGCTATTTGTTTTCTGTTATATGCTCGAAATGTATGCATAAAATTATTGAAATTCACATACACACGCGATGCTTGTTATTTGTGGATTATATCATGTAGCTTATCATGAAAATTAATATTTAGGAAAATTGGTTCCATTAGAAGTGAGAACAATTTGCATTATCCGCTTAAGTCTACAATTTGTTCATATTTTTTAATATGCCACAGGTGCCTGCCGTCGGTGCCAAACATAATTGAATTAATTTTTTTCAACCTGTTTAATTTTTAATTGTAATCTTGTTCTTAAACATGCACGGCTTTTTCATCGTGCGTTACTTCTGCTTCAAGGAGATAATGATGTACATATTATGAATAAATGATAAAGGAAAGAGCTTTAAGGGCATTTCACATGTGAAAATAATGAAGGCTTGTAATTACAGCACAAAAGAATACTC